TGAAGCTAGAGACGTGGTATTAGTTCAAGTCTTCATTAAATCATAGAAAATGCCGAGGATGGTGGTGGTGGAAGTAACTCAGTTAATGAAATTATTTACAATGTCAAAAAATCTTCATTGATGTACTGTTCCATAAACTACGAGTATCAATATGTTAACAGGCAGTTACAACAGAAAAGTAGCTTTGAATGTGACATGTTTGGGGAGAGGGATGCCAAATTTCACTCCTAGTCACACTTACTCAATGACAGCCAGAGGAAAATTGCTTTAAGGAACATGTCTGCATGGAAGGTTAACACTTCTGAGAAAATGCGAATCTTGAGGACTTTACAAAAGGAATATAAAATGCTTTCTGACAAACAGGGGTTCTGACATCTTCCCAAAAAACTGTCACAGCAAACACTTCACATCAGAAGAGAAGAGATCCATTACAGAGGTGTACTGAAACCAAGAATTCTAACTTCTAAATAACCTTGGTTTCCCCTGTAAGCCCTTTACCTAAGAAAGACGGGAAAAAAATGAGACTCCAAATGGATTACTGAAAATTCAAAGCCCTCCTAGTGCCTGATGCATATCCTCTGCTTATAGCAGATATCTTACGGAACATTTTGAGTAGAGGGGGATTAGTGCTTCAGCTTTCTGGGTTTGACTTATGACATAGTGACACAGCCAACAGAAAAGACTGCACAGCATGGAGGAGATAAAAAGATAACAAATCTTCACTATATCTCCTTTTCAGCTAAAGAGCTATGGCTCATCAGATGCAACTAGCAAACAGTAGTCAAAGCAAACAAATCAAGTCCTTTATTCATAACAAAGCATAGTTAAACTGTAGAATTTCCTTGCCACAGGATGTCAGACGACACAGCTGCTATTAGTCGCTGCTGGAGACAGGACGCTGAGCTAGAATCACCTTAATCTGTATCCTATATCCCAATAAATCAGGATGGAATGAAATGTTCAAGAACCCCAGCAACAAAATTACAGATTGGAAGGAATATCAGTTACTCGTTAGCTCTGGTCCCAAGTCATACAATTTACAGTGTTAGTGTCAATTACGCAACTTCAGTTAAAATCTCCAATTTTGTAGACATACTGAAGAATTATAATTCAGCTATTTCTCATTACCTGACTTTTTACAGTAATATTTTATCTCTGGTGTGTTCACGGCATCATGTTTATAATCCTGCTTTTATAATCCATTTTAATTTTTTTGGTTGTTTAAAACTAAAGCTAATCTTTCAATCTTTCCTCAAAACACTTCTTGAGCCTTTTAAAGAAGTTTTTTAGTTGTAATGCTGCTTATAAGAAATCATATTACAGTATATAATATTATATTATACTGTGTTAGCAGGCGCCTTCCAGTCATCTGGGATAATACTTGCAGCTAATGGAAGTTTTCATATTTTTTTCTGAGGAGGTCAGCAGTTAGATTCCACGTTCCTTCCAAATTCCTGGAGGTATACTACCTGAATCCAGAACATATTGCTTTTAATTTATCCATCTGTTTTAGGATCTGCTCTTCTGATATTCCAATTCATGGTAGCATCTCGTTCTTTTAATCTCTAAAAGAGTAGTATTAAAATCAATAGCTGCATAACTTTCTTTGAGGTAAAGAAAAAAGGAATAAAAGAATCTCTGCAATATTGTTCGATTTGTTAATCCTCTTTTTTGCTCTCTAGTAGTTTAACAGATGCAGTATCTTTAAATTTGTCAGCAATAAAAAGCTGTGAAAATGAGCTTAATAGTTTTCATCTATGCCCTTCAAACACTGACTTTTCCGCTTCTCATCATTTTATGTGGCACTTCTTTTAGCTTCTCTCCTTTTCTGTAAGATCTCTTTAAAAACTGCAATGCATACCTTTAAACTGCCAGTTAATCATTCTTTTCTCATGGTTTTGCTTCCTTCTTTAGGGGGTGGAGTGCAGATGCATGGCTTCTGCAAGTATCAGGATGTACTCATGGTCTCCATGTGAGTTAAAAGTTTTAATTTCCTCATCTCTAGCTTTCAGATCATGTTGATTAGCTTCTCCTTTTTAAAGTTGCCTTCTCTAAAGTTTACAGTCTATTTTAAAATACTGTGAATTCACAAATAAGTCTTCTGAAAAGGATTTTGAATTCAACTACACTGTAGTCAGAATTACTTGGAGGTTTAACAATAACCGTATGAACTACAGTCCTCTGCATTTTTTACAACAAAATCTGAAAATAGCTTCCCTGTGACTGAGAACTAGGATCCAAAAGTCAATTATTTGTATTAACTAGAAATTCCATCTCTGTCTTGTCTAGCTTAAGCATGTGAGCAGATCAGAAATTGAAATGAGCCACTCTATCTGTTTTATTAGATTCTACTGCTTCCTTTTCTCTCCTAATATTGTTCCTTCATTTTTTTCCTCATCAGAAAGCAAGTAACACAACAAATATTTGTATTGTCTCTCTTTAATAGACAGAGATTTTTAACAATTAAACTTCTCAAAATTTTGGCAGTTTTAACTGTCTAGTAACTGAGAAAATAAATAGATGAATTTTCAGTGAAGAAATGAATATATATTGAAACAGCTCTTAGTTTAATCAAATAAATGTTTTGACAGAAAGAGGTAAGCCTAGAACTGGTGTCACATCTTCATCACTGACATTCTCTTTCAAGAAACGATCCATTTCCTGACACAGCTGTACCACTTCCGTTAAGAGAATTATTAGGCTTGGATGCTTAGCATAACTTCTCCTTTCATGGTATGACATTAAGCGGTTTTAGAGAGATAAAAGTGTTGGCCAGATCAGTTTCATACAAAAAAATGCTTTAAACGGCAAATTTACCTACTCAATCTACTTTTCTGACAGTTATCAAGCACAAAATGTTCAACTGCAGATTAAAAAAAAAACTTTTCCAAATACAGACTGTATGTAGACTAGAAATTAGCCTTATTACTGTACTAAAATCACAACTGCACTAAAATCGCACCCAAAAGCTGTGCTTCATGTTATCATGTCTTTCATGGGGAGTCCATCCCTAAATTTATTTCTTAGTTTCTAAAATTTTATCTTTTTTTTCCCTTGCTGTGCTAATGTTCTCTGTGGAGTTTTTAAGGGGAACAATTTGTATCATCTGGCTTTCCAACATTTCTGCTTTGAAAATTACATCCATCTTGGTAAGAATTCAATAACCATAAGAAAGTGCTAGATGCCTCCAATTTCAGCTCCATAGAAATGGAATATGCAGCTCCCTATTAGGAAGAGAGTAAATCAAGTACCTCAGAACTCTAAAGCAGTAACATCCTGGAAGTGTGCAGCAACAGTTCTCCTTTTCTTCTTTCTCTTGCTCTCTCATTTCCTCTCAGAAGCCTGTATACAGAGCATTTCACCTCAGCCCTCAAACTAGCTTGGCATACCACCTCTTTTAGAACCAAAAAGGAAATGTTGTGACACTTTTTCTTAGATGAAGTTCAATAATATCTTTCCACGTGGGTATTTCCCACAACATTTTTTTTCTCTCTGTCTTCACAATTAGGAATGACAAGTAAATATACATACTTTTAAATAGTTGTGTTGCAGGGCAGAGAAGGGACATTCTATCTTTAGAACTCTGTTACTCCACGTTCCCAAACTTGCAGCACACACTCAGCCCAAATATTGAACTGTCGGTTGATCGACCTGTCAGGTCACACAAATATCAACCCAGCTGGAAAATTCTATTTCAAAAAAATTGCATCTACACTGCAGAGAGTGGCTCTACATCACCCCGTAGTTTTTAATTGTTTTCATATCAACTATTTCTTTTCCTTTAAACACTGCAGAGGTAACTTACTGAATGCATGATTGCGCCAAATAATATTCTTTCAGCACACATATATAAATGAGTATTTAAAGTGCAAATGACATTTTCAGTCAGTTAAATTGCACTCAAGAGCTGCACTTCCAAGAGCACAGCTTACAGAGCAAGAGTGGCTTTACTTCTCCAAATTATAAATCTTACAGACTACTCTGTTCTTCCTGTGTGTATACAGTCCAGCACTGTTTCTGTACTAAGTTTAAGGTTCCAGCTTTAGCTGCAGGCTCAAGACAAACTTCCTCCCTCATCTGCCTCTGTGACAATGCCCATGTCAGTAATCTAAATGGGTCAAAGTCAGAGAACCTGAGTGCGGGCACATGCTTATCCATACTTCTGACTGCTGGCATGCTTTCTGGTATGGTTTTGGCCCCAGACTAGGACTCTCCCAGACAACGTCCTAGCACTATCACGGGCCAGTAACTGTTTGCAGTAGGTCTAAATCCATTAGGCAGTGTAGAAAAAGCCACCTTGTTTTGAAGGGGAAAGAATGTCACTTGCCCTGAAATCCAGAGAACGAGTCCTAATCTGTTTTATTTACTGCTACTGTATGTTTCTACCTACATGTAAATCCTGTCTTCCCTTATGGCTGACAATACTGTGTCCTTTTTAAAAGGACCACAAAGCCATGCCATATTGCTTCAGATAGAAAGGTGATGGAGCTCACTATGCCTAGACTGTTCCACTGGAGGTAGTGCTACTCTCAAATCAAACACAGCACAGAACCAAGTTTAATCCTCCGGTGTTCCCGAAAGCTCAGTTGAAATGAAAATTTGAGCATGGTCTTGTACTCACGGAATACGGACATAAGGTTGCATAAGTGTAGCCCTCTTGTCTTAATGTATGTCAAAAGGTGGGATTATTTCAAATTTTTAGTAAGGCTGTTTTTGGGAATGACACGAGAATCCATCACAAAAAAATATTATAACACTGGAAGGATTTTTATCTAGAAGTTTTAAATTTTTTTATGGAACGACCACGTTGCTCAGCTACTTCTTCCAAGGTGCAAGCAAATCAGAAGGTCCCTCAGTGAATGACCTGTCATTTAATTTAAGCCCAAGCTCAATAAGATCATGTAATTCCAAACCCAGTCACAACTTAAAAAACCTGAATACAGGGTAATGGACTGTCTTCCTATATGCATAGTCAGAAGCTACCGCAATGGACCACTAACCTTGTTGATGTTGTTTTGTTTGTTTGTTTTTTAAGGATTACCTCCTCCTTCTTTGAAGCTGTTAAATCATTTTAGCTGAAACTTAAAAGGAGAGAAAAGAAGGATTCAGCCGGAGGAAAACAAGCAGATAAAGCCTGCCAACTATGAACATCCGAAATCGAGAAATTAGACTATTTGCAGCTGTTGGATTCACTGCCAGTTCTACTAGTACTAAGTGCTAGTCAGGGACAGAGTGGAGTTGGGTTTCAGTTTTTCTCTTCTGAGGCTGTCCGGGACTGTTAGTCCAAAGCGTAAACTAGAAGAGCCACTGGATGACATATCGCACCAGAGTCTTAAGACGTAACACCAAGGTCAAAGAATAACCAGGAACAGCTGTTACTCCTGGTACTGAAGAAATAAAGTTGACGCTCTCCACTGTACAAAGGAGCCATTAGGGTTACACAGATGCAAAAATTTAATTTAAGAACCAACCTTACCATTTCATCTTATATTTTCATTACATTTTCCCTACTGTAATTCAATAAAATATTATGCCAATGTAACTTTTACTGTCTCTGCAATAAGGAGCCTTCTAAAATAAGTGAAAAAATTAGTTAATTATTTTTCAGTTCGAAAACATCTTCTATGAGCAAACTGTCTATATTAACAGTCCTGATAATATAGCGTCAGAAGGCAGTAACTAGATGGACACTGGCAGTGAAGTTATGCGTGTACCATGTGTGACAGGGAGGTACGTGAAGAGAACACCTACAGTCTTATGTCCATCTTACCAGGAATACTAAGAAACACTTAGACATTTTAGTTTTTGGAAAAAAATACAGAAAATGAAAAATAAGACTTGGCATTGAAAAAATATTATAGTAGAAAGCCGCTATCAACTCTAAGTTCAAATCGGTATCTACCTCTTGAGGAAACTGTAGCAATGTGTGTGTATATATATATATATATATACGTACAAATTCACATTTCACTGGCGTTTGCTGTACTGCAGTAAAATGCTGTATCTGAACACACCTATTATATGTGACAGGGCACTACAAATTAGCATCTTGTAATAAAATCTCTAAGCAGAAAAATGCAAATAGGAACCAACAGCATTAAGAAGAAACAGGTCACAAATTATTGTGAATAAGAAATTGAAAGAAAAGTAATTTGTGTAATCTGCCTCAGGATCAGCAGATTGCTTCCAAAACATGAGAGGCTTAAGTGAGATAAACAGGCCTAATATGTATGATTCCAAACATCTGATTTTTCCCCTTAACAATGAATAAAAAGTCACTATCAGAATACTATGCATAAACAGTAAGTGGGACCAATGAAAATGTACCAAATTATGTAATGTAAAGTAGTACACTGATGCACTGGCTTCTCCCTGCTTTTACCTCATGACAGACTGAGGTAGAGACCCCGGTAACAAGCCCATCCCAAAGCAGCGTACCTAACCAACCTCCTCTTGTTCTTTTGACCTTTCAGCTATTACAAAGGTTGTTTTATCTTCGAGTAAATTCAGCCTCTGCAACTTCCCCGGGCGACACAACTCATTTAAAAGGCGCCGCCTCACCGGCGCGCGCTCCGGGCCGTCGCTCTCCCCTCAGAGCCCCGCCCCGCCCCCACGGCAGCGGCGCGGCCTTGGGCCGCGGCGCCCGCCTCCCCCAGCCAACAAGCGTGCGGCACGCCGCC